CTTTCCATACTTACCTCTTAGTTAGCATTATAAAGGCATATTTTGAAACAAAGAACACCAAATGTTCGAAATCCGTTTTAGTCGTTGGCGAATTAATACGTTGAAGTTAACTCAATGTATTGGACGTTACGTTATGGGTCATGATTCACCTAATCATCCGCCGGATCGTAACAATATTCTTTTGTTTTTTCTATCTTTGTTAATTTACTATAGTTTTATCCATAATAAATATTAATTACTAATTTTTGCTCGGTACTCCGTCCCCGCGGAATTAAAAAAATAAATGGAAGTAACCTATGTGTTCTTCTAGACCATCCTCTACATTCATGCCAAATTTCATCGAGATCCGTTAAGCCGTTTAGGCTACAAACTCTAACAAACGTCCATTCATCGTAACTTTCGCATTTATATTATTATAATATTAAATAAATAATAAGATTTTACCTAAAATTATTTTTCATTTGATATATTGATATATGTTTGAAAGAAAATACGAAACAGAAGCTGGTGTTTTTTTTTTTCATAATTATCAGTACGTAGTTAGGTATAGCATTCCAGAGGGCTATCGACGAAAACACAATAAAGCATTTATGTTCTCTATAAAACCTTAAGCCATGAACTCATATTTTATGTGGAGCCGCTGAACCCAATTACACTTGAATGGTTCGTCATGATCAGAGATTTTTTGGGGTCCAATAAAAACTTATGAGAAGATTTATATGCTTGCTAGGACGTGGACCATATTCTAATTCATCTTATTAGCGTTGCAACTTGATAATAAATTCTATACTAATTAATGAACAGAAAAGATCCACAAAACAAATTAAAATCTCCTTTTTCCTTTTGTAGGTGCACCTTTATTGAGCCGTTAAGATGAATGTTCACTGCGAGAGGTAGAAAGGTATGCACGAAACTCAAATTGATTCGTGATTTAATTATTTTTATTAAATTGATGCAACAATTGTCCATGGTAGCTAGTTTGATTTAATAGCTGAAAAATACGTTTTTTATTTATTTGTCTTGGATTAATTACTATATTGAAAATTTTCTTGAAATGTAAATAATGCACTATAGTTAATTATTTATAAACTAGTTTAGCGTTGAATTAAGATTTTTCAAAGTCAATGTTAATATACATCATGATAAAATTACAACTCGAATACAACTAGTGTACATCTTCATTTAAATAACGTTTTACATAATTTTTAACTTAAAACATTACATACATTAAAGTTTAAACATTATGTAATATACATAAATTATCATAATCACAAAACGGATCTTGTGGCAATGTTGTATGAAAAATTAATTGCTAGGTGTGTGTCGAATTTTAATTATGCAATAATTATTTTATCGTTTTTATCTGCGTTTACCTTCGATGACAGCCGCCATTGCCGGCACTATCGAAGATTTATTTATCACATTAAATAATTGGCTTGCGTATAGGCAAAGATATATTTAGTGGATATATCTTTTAGACTCCGTGTAAAGCTAATGCCTGGCTCGACTCGCGAGAATTTAATCGAACTCTTCGTTTGTCAATCAATAAAAACCAACGAGATGGACCACTTTGTGATAAACGAGATCATAATGTGGATAAGACATCAATGAATATAATGTAAAAATTGTAAACCGTATTACTATTTTACTTCTTATCTTACTAATATTGTAAATTCAAAAATTTAGATGGATGAATTTGAGAAAAACACATAGACTACTTACTTTTATTTAAATTCCACCCAGACCGAGTCGCAGACAAAGCTAGTATAAATGTATTTATAGTTTTCAATCGTTTTTTGCTCACTTTAAATATTTATGGGATTTTGCTTTAATCATCAGTACTTGTACTGATATTTAGATATTAGTGTTTTTAACTTCAAGATATTGTAAGTCAGTAGGCCAACTCTAGATATATTGCTTACAGTTCTTGAGCGGAAAAATTTAAAGCCGGAATACTGACCTACACAAGACTATTATAAGTTACCTATATCTATCACTGTTAAAACCAATAAAACGGAACAATCTCTAAAACATTTTAATCCCAAATTTGTCTTCATTTATCAAAGCGTATGAATACATTTGCATCACTATTACAAAATCAATAGCAAACCGTAAGCTAACTTTAGTATACACATTAAGTGATTACCGATATATTATATGAGCTTATCTGAGTAATTACAAAGTAACATACGACGACCTTATGTTTAGAATTCTCCGACTTGATCTTGGCAAATATGACCCGACCAATCGCTTTAACATTTCGCGTCGGCGCATGTTTTTAATTTTTATATTGATTACCTGTCATCGGCAAACGAGAATAACATTTTAATAGTGAAATTATTAATTGATAAACGCGAATCGACTTCATTCGCGGTCATAGGTCACACACGCTCGATAGCCGCGGTGAAGACCAAGCTGGCACTAATGTTTTAGTGAATTATTAACTTCAGTCCAAATAGGTCTCGCTTAAAACCATCGGGACAATCCACAATCTATTGACGTCTGATAAATGGTACCATCGGACCGTGATAAAAGTGACCAAGTTAATAATTTATTGGGCATACCGAGCAGAAACTTCGTAAAAATAAACATGAATGGTCGCCTTATTGGGGCTTGATTTAATGCGGTCAATAAAACAGTAACTAACCTTATATAAATTACTAAACAAATAAATAACATCGGCGGTCATCAAAGTTTATTTCAGACATCGAGCGTGCTGCGTCAAAATTGTACATTGATTTTGTAGTTGGCTCGTAACATTTATTATAATTATGACTCGACGTTTTCAAAATGTTTTAGTGCCCTCTAATTAGACTCATTTAGTCTAAACAGAGCTTGTCATCTGTCTTTTTATAATGTTTATTGAGAGTTTTATAACCTAAAATATAATAAAAACAAAATTATATGTTTACTGGCTAAAATAAAATAAAGCAAAAGTTGTTTCCACTGAGAAGTGTTCCATCAGGGCTTAATTTGTTTTACGATTGATATAATAATATGTAATGTGCGGACAACTTATTCAATAGTACTAATAATTTTAAACAAAATTGCAACATACGTAGAGCTGTCTAAAAAAAGGACCTCGGCATTTTATGAAGGCTATCCGCATTAAACCACTGAAATATTTCAGTCTTTAATATCCTCTGTAGTAAAGATTTATGTGATAAATGTGCAGGTCTAGGGAAGGCGCTGTCTAATCACCAAGCGATCATTAAATCCAAGCAATAACTCTCCTACATAGTAGCGAGCATATATAAAGAGCCATAATTCTTTGTTAGGTACCTTTGTAACTGGCCACGGAGATTGATGAAGGCTCGCCTTAGGTGGGCCTTGTTAATAAGCTTTCGGTAATTCTGTCTTGCTTTTAAAGTAATGATTACTGAGATTGATAGAAATTAATGATTTCAATGCGAGAGACTATCGATGATTTTAACAGCTTAAATATATTTAATTAATATTTTTACTTTTTTGTATTTATTGCTGGCGTATTGCTAATTGTTTTTAAGCCAGTATTAATGAAAATTGATATACATTTGACTTGAACCAGATACTGACATCTATTTGCTTTAAACACAAAGTGAAATCAAGTGTATCGCAGTAATTACTTGAATCGAGACAAATTCACGAAACTTAAGCACAATAGTACCAACGTATTCTGTAACAAAATGATTGTTAGAGCCTCGAAGGCACCGCATCGTTAATTAACGGCGATAATTTGACACGCACTGACAGCTAATATTATATTGAAATTGATTTGTGTTCAGAGTTGAATAAATTTTGACACAGTCAATAAGCCACCGCTCTTTCACACGGTTGATGGAACATTCGATTCTGTTACTTGCGACTGGTTTGTTTTTCCAACATGTTATCCAACAATTAAAACGAAATAAGTTAAAGAAATCTCATCCTTTACTCCTTATTAAAATGGAACATTTAATAATCAAATCCATAAATGAGTAACTTCTGCCAATACTTAAGTGTCATTGATAAACTGTGGAAGTTTTCCTTTTTTCTAAGATGATTAAAGGACAAATAAAAAAAAACATAATCCTCATTAATTACTACAATACTTCTCATGTTATAATTACATTGATACAGACAGAAGTTCAAAGAATCCAATGTTAAGTGTCGATTAATGATTACCGACATCTAAAGGAAGAATAATTATAAAGGGAATGAAAACGCACAGATCCACTAACGTGACGTGTGAGTTACCGCCCTACAATGGTGTGAAGATAACAAGACAGGAACCTGTTTAAAATTCCTCTAATCGAATATGGCCTTTATGGTTGTCTTTAACACGATTATTATATTTTAAGAGGTCCCGTGTGACTTGCACTTTGTGTGTATCGAGGTACGGCGTGAGGTGTCGAACTGTCGAATAATAGCTTTGCGTCGGAGTGATTGATTAATGACAGAGCCGGCGAAAACAGACTGGCTACCTAATTAAATACTCCCGCCGACCAGAGCGACGGCTACGGCGTCCGCGACGGGAGCATAATGTGAAGATAGTATAAGAATGATTGACTAGCAATTGACTCGCCCGCCTTATTGTGCTTTACACGAGTACTCTTATATTGAGTATTGGAGTATTCAAATTTGTAATCTATTACTAAGTATATTACTTGGTTCTCTCAACTGATTAGGTCAGATCAATTCGTATACAAAGTTTTTGAGCATAAAAATAAAATGTTTAGAAACCGATATTTAGTATTTGAAGTGCACCTCGTTATTAAGAAAATGTATTTTCAACTGATATATAATAAGTGTTAGAGTATTTTTTAAATGTTAATTATGCTGCAATACAAAAAAATTACGCAAACATTTAAGCTCTCCCTGACTTGACACTGGCCCAATCCGCTCAGGGAGAGCCATAAACAAGAAATATAATAGAAGTCCTCTATGTATAAATACTAAATAAAATACTGGCCTTATATAATTTTTTATCCGTATTAATTTAATTATCTAGCCGTGTATTTGACGTTGTCATAAATGACACAAATAAGTTTATTTTATCTTCACATTTAATAAAGTTATTACAACCATAATGGTATATTTATATACATCTAAAAATGTGAAGATACTAAAAAATCTTCTTATTGATTTCTCAAAGTCATCGGATATATCGCCCTGTGAATATATGAAATCTTATATAGATTCCTGGGATGATCCAACGGATGATTCAAAGCTTTGTTGGATTGTGGAAACCTTCCTCGGTATTATGAAACACGATCAATTCTTAAAACAAACAGTTGCTCAGTTTCCGTCGAAACTAAACGACGACGATAAAGATTACCTGTCGATTATGGTACATGGTTTAATTTTTCAAATTTCGCCATCTGATATGACTTTATTGTACAAATGTTTGTTCAATTTAAGTAAAGAAATCTTAAATGCACTCACAAGTTCCTTAAAAACTTGTGAATTTCTAGATCAGATATCTAAAATAGCTCAACCAATTTATGACACAAATTATATTACCGAACATATAATAAGACCGCTTTCGAAATGGCAACCTACTATGGATAAAATATCACAAATGTATGGAGAATATTTAGCTGAAATAGAAAGTTTAAAAATAAAACCACCCACTATACCAGTACAACCCAATGTGTTGGAAAGGAAAAATAAAAAATTAGAGGGTTTAGTGTCCCAAAAAATTTCTCTACCAGCAACCCCACCTAACTCAGTTTGTGATAAACCTAAACGCATGCTTACAAAAAGTGTAATCGATAAAAAACTAAAACAAGCGTTTGATATGAATAAACAAAAAGCCATGAAACTCTTGAACGAATTAAAAAGTGAAATGTATCACTATCCCCAAAAACGACATTATGAAAAACCAAAACATTCTATCAATTTACAAAAAGATACTGAACAAGATTGGAAAAAAACTTTCGCAAAATCTAAGAATAAGAATTGGAAAAAAATACCACTAATGCCAGTAAAGGAAAACATAGCGACGCTTAAACGGTTTAATGAAAGAATTAAATTAACTGAACGAGAGGAAATACAATGGCTGCAAAATTTATTATGCGATTGTAGAAGCTTAAGTAAATTCCATGAACTAGAGGAATATGAACGTGAAGAGAGGGAAAGGGATCGAATACTTGACATAGAAAAAAAGCATATACAAGGTCAAATCACATTCGAAGAGGCACTATTGGCAAAGAAAAAAGTCCAAGAAGAAAATAAAAGGAAATACGAAGAATTTATGAAAGAAAAAGAATTATGGAATAAAGAATTGGAGAAATGGAATCAAGAACAAATTGAAAATAACCGCAAACATTTTGAAAAACTATCCTTAATTGAATTAAATGTGCTAGAGGCACGTAAAAAAGTTACTGATAAAAAGAAAGAAGAGGCGGATTTGATTAAAAAAGAGAATGAAATATTGCATTTACAATCTTTGCAAGCTAAACAGGAAGAGTTAAAACGTAAAATTCAATTGATTAAAGAAATTAAAATCTTGTCTATCATAGCAAAGAGAGCCAAGCTTCCTAAAATCATAGATTTAACAGAAACATCAGGACTTGGCTTATTATGCGAAATGTCGATGGCGGAACTTCAAGAAAGGTTAAGTTCGATGAAGATGAATCTCAAAGAGGAGTTAGAAGCAAAAAGCAAACTTATAAAAGAAAAAAATGTTGCAGCAAAAAAGGCAATAGAAGACACCCGGAACAAAGTTGCTGAGTTTTTAGATGAAAGAAAGAAACTACGAAACAGTAATAAAAGCCCACCAAAACCACCAACAGATGTGTCGACTAAAGAAATCAATGAGTTGAAAATGATTTTAGAAGCCAAAAGAAAATTACGGCAACAATTAACTACTTAAAGTAATTAGTATGAGTTTCGTGTTTTTGTAATTTATTTCTGTGTTGAATGAAATAAAATTCATAAATAAATTAAACCAAGGACAATGTTTTTCTATACCTTCTGTATTTTTTGTATTAAAGGATATTGAACTATGAACATCTGAATGCAGATACTGAACACTGTAGCTATTCATTGGTCGCAGGAAATTTAAATCAAGTATAAACGTTAATAACGCACGTGTTACGAATATTGCAAGAGAATATTGTGATAAGACTAATGGTGTCTTCAGGCAATCCCGATCGATGCGCATGCGTGAATTGGTTGCTGAACTTAATTAGAACCTGGCAAGTGAAATATTAGCGATTCAAATTTATAGTACTAGTCTGCCGTATGCTTTAATATATGACCGTACAATGACTTCATTTAAGTTTGCTGCGAGTCATAGTAAAGATATTGTTATAACTTAAGTAACTTCGTCGACATCATCCTTATCCGTCAATAACTCTTTAAGAAACACAGTTCCGATACAATCAACATACTGTCACATATCTTATTACAATAATGTGAACTTGTTTAGGCACACGCGCATTCAAAATATCGACATCACCATAATACTACAAATTACGTGACAATGTTCTCAAAATCCAAAAAACCTAGTCGATATAATTTGGATTAAGGCAATAAATAAGCCGAGGTCGCCTGTTCATTTGTATCGGCGTATAATTTAAATTCTTTAACGCCAATGTTCAAGATTACGCGGCGAGATAGAGGCGCGGGCGCCCGTGTCGCGCCGACAACCACCAAATAAATTTATATTTCCGACCGACACCGAATCGACTTCTCTCTTTGTAGATAATTCGGCCGGTAACGTTGAATGACTCTATTAACAGCTTCCCTTTTAGGGATAAATGTCGACTTTGGGCTGTATCGACGTTTCTCGTATGTATAGTCCGGGTGGAAATTACAAGAGTTAATATAATTTGTGGATTGGATTCATGTTCATATCTATAGTGGATATCATGTTATAATACTTATGATATTGTTATCCAATAATAGACATATTCGAGAATGCTGGCTACTTTTGATTTTAATTTATTGACACATTTTCTCATTTAATAGACGAAAGTAACACGGATTTACTTTTATTAAATTCGTTGTACTATAGTGTAAACTTCTTAGGTTGTTAAGGTCAACTTCTAAAATATAGCCGTATACCTAATTAGGTGTGATGCATCCGTTTTATATTTTAAAGGAATACTACGAATAAGAGCCATCGTTTGAAGATTTACCTGATAACAGTAAAACGTCAATAACCACCTAATTGGGAGAGAACACTCCGGCCACAATCGCCGGACCCGTCCCGAGTGAGAAACAAATAAATATTGTAACACACATCGAGATAATTTGAGCGATAACTTAATGTGCTTACATTTCGAATCTGCTCATGGTTTTATGGGAAACTACCTACAACTTTATCAGGTTTTGTTTGTTTTTTTTGGGAATGACCTTAATTAAATAAGAATTATTTCGGGACTATTACAAAAAAAATAAAACGTGAACGAAAACAATAATTTAAAATAAATCTATGTTTTTCAAACTGTGTTTATCAAAAAAAAAAGTCATATTACAAAGCGCAGGTTGATAAGTTTCTTTGATTTGGTAACATACTTAGTTTCACTTATTGGTAACTATGTTTCTCATGCCTCTCGTCACCACGTATTTAAATGGAGGTAAATCAAACACCAATAGAATAAAACCATTGATTCTATTTTTCATACTCTTGTGATAAAAATTATCTGTATCATGATACGGTTAATTAGAACCCAAAATTGTTAAAAAGTCTAATGTTAACAAAGATCTATGAACAGAACATATAGTACAAATGGTTAAGGATATTGTCTTAATCCATTGATATCGAATTAAGTTACTCAATTTCATGTCGATCACTACTTATGGGGCTTACTTAGTATAAGAGGAAGAGGTTTCGTGAATGAAAACACGATAATTGTGAACTCAGTAAGTAAAACTAAGATAAAAATAACTGGCGGACCTAGCGGACGAAGTCCGCTACATGGTGTTAAAGGCTTTATAGCAATTTTTTAATAATATAGATTTTTTTTTCTATTTTTAACTTTCTTATTTTGTATTGTGTTTGTATATAATTGAATGGTTTCGGTATTTAGTTTTAGGTATTATGGGACTGACATGTTCTAAGGAACCAAAGTCTCTTTAAAAAATACAGAGAAAAAAAACAGATAAAAATAAAAAAAACGTCTTCACAATTTAACAACGACGCCCTAATGTTATAATGAAAATCAATCTTGAATACATAAGGTAATAAAATAGTGATTTGTTACGAACACAAATATGTAAAGTTAAGGGCTGCTAATGTTAAGATAAATTTAAAAAAAAAAAACATAAATGTATTACAAAACTAGGTGCTGCCTACAACTTTGTCCTCGCAAAAATAAAAACCTTAGTGAGTATCCTCTCAGACCTTGTTTTACATCTGTGCTATTGTCATTTTACTGGTACATAGTAACAAATATCTGTTCCTCCAAACTTCCACATTTCGTAATATGACTTAAAACATGTATATTAACGTCGAAGTTTTCATCAAAAATCTTGCGATATATTTGTTTCTTGTAGTGTCGCGTACAGCAATGTTGCCCTCGGTGCTTCAAACGACACAAAATTTATTGTTATTGGATCGGCGCGCGTACATGCATCCACACTCCGCGGCTATCACGAACTTACAACTTTATCGAAGCCGCACTATTCTCAAATGTAACAAAAAAGAACTACTTCTACCATAATATCATTTTAACGGACATATTAAAATATTTCTATCTATAATATTTACAATAATCACCTTTGTATGCGATACAGACTAGCACAACCTGAAATTTTCCTGGATTTCATTACATTAAAATACAAATTATTACGTAATATTAAAAAAAAACATTACAAATGAAACAGAGCAATTTTTGTATAGTTTTTTCATGTTTAAAAATTATTTGAATCATGGGTTCGGTGTAGAATAAGACGTATACTAGTTGTGTACAGAATAAGACTTTTGTGGAAATGAAGACTAGTGCTACGCATAGCGCTAAAGGCAATTTGTAAATGATAGTCAGAGATCTATTTAAAATGGATATTGTCTTGAAATACACTGATGACGATAATTATATTGAGATACAAAGTAACCTATGTATTGATAAGTTTGCATGCAAGCATAATTCACTAAATTTAATCATGTTAAATGTACCTAATCTTACTAATATTATAAATGCGAAAGTTTAGATGGATGGATGGATGGATGGATGTTTGTTAGGGTTTGTAGCCTAAACGGCTGAAAGGATCTCCATGAAATTTGGCACAGGTTTAGAGCATAGTCTGGAAGAACACATAGGATACTTTTTATCCCGGGAATAGTTACGGTTCCTGTGCGATTCATTAATTTAGTTTTTGAATGATTACTCGATTATTCTGCAACGGTTCAACATATCCTATTGAAATTTGGCACAGATATAAAACTAAGTCTGGAGTACACACGGGATGAGGTTCATCCCCGAGAAATGTCAGGTTCCCGAGGGTTTACGTAGCTTTTTGTTATTTATATAGTTCGTATGTTTTCTATACCATACGGACGAAGTCGCGGGCAACAGCTCGTAGTTTATAAATTATACTTATCTATACAGTAAGATTGTATGTAAGACATTTTTTTTTACTAATGTTATAAATGCGAAAGTTTAGGTGGATGTATGTTTGTTAGTTAACGTAAACGTCTGAACATCTCGATGAAATTTAGCAAAGATGTAGTGTATAGTCTGGAAAAACTCAGGTTACTTTTTTTTTAACTCCGAGCAGATGAAGTCTCTGCGAAAGTTAATGTTTTAATAATTACATTGGCCCTGGAAGGTATTAAGTGACACTAAACAGTGACCCTGAATTCTTTCTAAAGCTAACAAGCTAACGTGATTTAAGAATCTCAGACGCAAGTATAATTTAATTAAGTTAATGTAAACGCACCGCTGCGTAATGTAACCTTAAGGCATTAGAGAGAATTACATGTAACGTTATTGGTTTACATAAGCATTAATCAGTATTTATACTTTTATATAGTCATTCCGCTATTTAATTTAGGTTCGTGTATAAAAAATATGCGCTATAAACTAAGCGGAAACCACTCTCTTATTAGTTAAGCGTTTCAATGCTAGACTGTAACGTAAAGTTATTCAGATTATGAAGAATTTGTTGGTAAAGAAATGTTACAACTTATAAAAACTCAGAAATGTGTAAATCGGGCATGAGTAATTATAATTTTATAAATAACAAAACCGATATAACTTGCGGCAGTTCCTTTGTAGTTATATGTCGGTTGAAAGTCGCATATCGAAGAATTAAGCTAAAGAACATTGCAAGAATACCGGACGTGCTATAATTCGACTGAGAATCCCTCACGTTTCTAATTGATACATGCTTAGAGCACAGAATATCTACAAAACAAAATCATACAGAGATTTACTGTCGGGTTTCGTTCAACCGGAATGTTTTTGTTCCGAGCTCTCCTTTCTCCAACATGATTATCGATATCCGGGAAGAACAATTCGAGAACTTTTTACTAACAATGGACGCAAAAGGATAATTGTTTTCGATGATACGAATATAACGATCGAGAATTAAAAGGTGTGTTACTTAAAGAATGCCGTGTCAGATATTAATTTAGCTGATGTCCAGACAATTGAACTGAGCTTACGCTTGCAGTATTCCTACTTATTCTTTTTATTTTTCATTTCATTTGTCTTCTTATTACAAGCTTGTAAAGAAAGTTTTAAAGACTTGATTTAAAAAGAATGTGTCATTAATTCATCAGGGTTAGGTTCCAAAATCTTTGGATATCGGTCTGTAAGAAGGATTTTTAAAAATTAAAGTCAAAAATCAGATAATTTGTTTATTTTCGTAGGTACGTTTGTAAATTCTCTACTATATTTTACAATAAAATATATATGTTCATTTAGATAATAAATAATACAGTGCTCTACCAAGCTTAACGGTTAACTATATACAATATATTCTATTACATTATTACATTGGTGTTATCATTTTGTAATTTACAATAACATAGTCAAAATGTTGCATTAATCACTACGAGTTGTTTTTTTTTTAATATACATCCCCGGCTACACGGTAAAGTGCGTAGGAACTAGTTAGTTGAATGAACCGTGCTTACACCAATTTGATACTTTGGTAATACCTTGCAATCAATTACTTTTTAAAACATTATCCAAGTTATTACCACTACCAAAACTTAAATTCAAAAAGAATGCAATATGCATTTAAAATTAACTAAGGATATTTCATAACTTACTTACATTATTAACATAACAACATAGCGTCTATACAATAGCAAGAGTTTATAAATAAAGCGACATCGTTTGTGCATAGCTTGAACAGCTAACCATTAGTCTCCATTACAACAATCAACAACTTAATTCTCTTAATATTTACATAAATTTACAAGCAAACGGGAGTATTAACACCCTTGGACGAAATTTACATAAAAATATTATATTATGATGTGAACATTCGATAGGAATGATTTTAAGTATTTTGAACAAGTAAATAAACACATTATGTAGAGTTGAAACATCAACGGTCGTGCTTGGTGAGTTGTAGCGGCAGGTCGCTCGAGGTCAACGGTCGCTGTCGGCACGGGCTTGGCGATCTAGACCTCGTCGTGTTCCTCTGTCTATCGCCTTCGTCGTCGCTCTCGTCATGAACATTTATCTCCTCGTCGGAATCCGAATGAGATTCGTAACCTCGAGCTAGTTGTATGGACTGAGCTGCTAGAAGCGCCGCAGCCGCTGAGTGTGGGACGAGCGCCTTGAACGCACTGTTTTCTAGTGCGGGGTGAGGCTTAAACGCACCGCTCTCGAAGGGTGTTTGCGTGAGCGCTTTCAGTGCGTTACTTTCCAGCTGCGCTTGGTGGGACAGTGCCTTCAGTGCGTTCGTGTCCTGATGCGACAGAGCTTTGAACGCGCTATTTTCGCCACCCATCTGGGGAGTGTGGTAGGGCCCGCGGGTAGGGGACAAGGAACGGGAGCGCGAGCGGGAGGGGGAGTGGGGCAGGCGGTGCGAGGGCGAGCCGCCACCTCGCTTGAGGAGGTTCATGCGCTGGTGGCGTCTCCACTTGGCTCGTCTGTTGGAAAACCAAACCTGTCAGTAACGGTAAATAAGCGTGATTAGTATTCTGTTCTCGTCGTGTTAACAAATTCATGTATGTAAATGGAAATGAAACGATAGCTCTGATTCGATTAAGCCAAGACTTGTTGACTTTTTATTCTACGTAATATTAATTGACTTTGAATTCACAGATATCATAATGTCTCGTTAGGTTTTGAGGTTTATTATGAATAAATATTCACCTGAACTCTGGCTTCCGAGAGTGAAGTTTTTGATGCCAAACGTTCTCGGGTTGACACGCAAGGATAGTGAGACTTTTCGAATTCCTTCTCGAGCTCTTCCAGTTGATCAGGACTGAACGTCGTTCGGTTCCGGCGGAATTTTGGTTGTTCGCCGTCCAGAGATCCGGAATCATCACCATCGACATCTGCACAAATTACAAAGTGAATTAAAACTATTTTAAACATTTCAAATCTGATAACTGTAATAGTATAATTTAGCGTTGTTTTAATTAAATCAAAGTAGGCAAATAGTGTAAATGGTACTCACCAACGAGACCACGTCCTGAAGAAGATAAGAATCCCTGCTGAACCGCGTCTGGGTGTTGCATCCCGACGGACGGTGGGGGTACACCCGGCGGTAGGGGGAGACCTCCGGGCGGCCACACACCCCCTCCACCTCCCCAAGGGAATCCTCCATAAGGAGGAGGAGCAGCGTACAGCCCGTAACCAGCGGCCCTCGCGAACTCCGCAGCCGCTCGCTCCGCCGCTCTGTTTCTCAGTATCCTGTTGATTGACGATACACTCGGTGCGGTGGCATTCGTGCACACACCTGCAAAATAATGAAAACATGAGTAATGATAAAAGTAAAACAGAAGCAGACAGTTATCCAGAAAAGAGTGCCATAAATTATAGATTTCCATTCGACACGCATGGACATGCCCGACATCGTTCAAATCAGCACACTACATTATACAAAAAATGGTACTCATATACTTTATTTCTAACTTTACGAAGGCTAGTTACACTGTGCGAGAATATTTTTTTTTTAATGTAACACACGACTGATGTAAGAATAAATTCAATATTCAGTTTCATATTATTCGTTATTTACAAGTGATATTTGATTTAAATGGGAAATAACTGATATTTATTAACCACACTGTCAGTTGATGTATTAATCATTAATTTTAATTACATTAATTGGCATTAGCGTGTAGAAAATGATGATTTTACACTTTGACCCGCTATTGGTTATAGATAAATTAGTGTTATTTATAACTAATCATCAAAACAAGCCGCTCGGTATTTCCTTTAACATAATTCAATGGCAAATCAAATAATTATACGTTAAAAACTCGAGTTCTATATAATTTTCAGCTTTAGACAGATGTATTATAGCAAAATAATTATTTTAAATGTCGCGAGCAGTTAGTTGCCTTTGTGACGTAGTTTTTAGTACTAATTTATTTCCATGTTAGTCGTGATCTTGAAAGCTAAGACTGTGTATATCTGTTACCAGTACATAAACGGTACAGTGGCATAATTATGGTAGTCAGTGATATTTCTTAAGCAAAGTAAGGATAATTGCAGTTTGCGCGCAAAATGAGTGACCAGCAGCGCGTTAAAACCGATGCGTCATTCATTGGTCGCGTTTTAAAATCGTTCACCATTATGTCGTTTAAGGCCAGCTATACACTATTCCATTTTTATGTTTTTAAAATCATAATGTATTACTCTTATTAATTACAATAGTAGATGTCCGATTGCAGCTATGGATTCATAAAAAATAAGTTTTTTTTTGTCAAACTTTAGATATCAGTAATGGACCAAGGAGTATGCATGCATGGGAGAGCATAATTTGAATATCTACTAAAGTCAGATCCCGTAAAGAATGTGCAAATATAAATGTAAAACAAGTAAAAAATACCAAGCTTGTTTTATCCAGGTTTTATAACCATTTTTTTAATTCAGTAGTATTTTTCGTTCTAATATAGCTAGTACGGTATGACCCTAATGCGTGCAAGCGCTTGCGTGCCGACGCAGCCTTGCCAGAGCCATCTCATGTAATTTTCAGGAAACACACGGAGTAAGTGCCATAATTTAATCATAGCCTGCCGGTTTGTAATTGTTGTAGAATTTGTTGTTGAGCTACTGATCTGTGCTTGGCATACTGGTACTTCAAACACTACTGTTCTTTTAGGCTATAACTTTTGAGTACCATTTTATAATAGTATGCTCTTATACGCGTATTGTTTATAATTCGTATTCGGTTTAAAAACTTGTTAAGACCAATCTTTATTTTCATTTATTGGATCTGTTTGATATATCTGTTTGATTTTCATTAAATTCCTTCGGCAATCCATTTAATATGTGTATTTAGTACTTTGACAAGGAAAACCGGAAAACAAATTATGAAAATTAGCAATACAAGTTAAATATTCTCTTCGTATTGCGGAGTTTAATCATGTTGCTGTGTTTGTCGACACAAATTGACATTATTATTGTTAAGTGCTTTGGCGTCCTTTAATTTTGCAATGTTCGCAGCAATTTGCCAGTATTTACTTAAATTAGATCTATTTCAAGTTGCGGTCATTTCTACAATTACATCTACGGATAATAACTAGATATAATTGCTTAATATACTTTGTTAATGTTAAAGATGTAAAATCGACTCACAATTTACTTAGAAAATTTACCAGGTACATATTCATTGTGTCTGTATTTAGGTAACCTTTATTTAAACGTAATACTAAAATAAATAACCATTTTTGATTTTTTTTCTTACCATCTTAACTTATCCCAGTCTTAAAACAGTAATTATAATTAACATTGCTATTAACTTTAGAAAAAAAATTAAATGGTCACTGCACTTAATGAAGCTCTATTGTTTCGTCGAGCGACCATCGTACACAAGAACATCGAATAAATAAACTCAGGACCGGATCTGTTATAATTTACTCAAAACACAAAGCCTTATATGGCATAATGGTAATGATCAGTTGCGTCGGATCTCTCATTGTTAACACGTCGAAAGCACAAAAAGATCCATACAATTTGTTTGCTTCGTAATCGGCGCGATATGTTAGCCGCGCCCGCTCCCATAGAGCCTTCTGTTCTCATCGGAGAATTAAAGCGCCAAAGAAATACATCAATGGATGACCGGTCGTAATTTACCAACCGATATCCACCATAATGAGAGTATAGCTCTTTTAAAAAGAAGAAAAACCGTTGAAAATTCTGTAACGTTTTCTAAGAGCTGGCCGTCGCCGTTTTTAATCGGGTTCCTTGTTTGTTGCGCTCAAACAAAAAACTTCAATGAACTTTAAGTGAACAGTTAAATTGGGTTTTTGTTAAGCAAGGAGAATGTGCTTAGCGGCTTTTTATGTTTGTCATCCGATTCACTGAAATAGAGCGGGGATAGATGAATGAATAAGTGAACTACTTGAATGCGGATATTCGAATTTTGGCTTTAGCATTGTACTGCCATTGTCCTAATACTTATTTATAAGATTTTTATTATTACTGAGGATCATACGAAAATTATCAAATTAGGCTTTTCATCATTCTCGACAGTCCTACGCAATCTCAGTTCTTACATGTAGTGTTCCAATCCGGAGATATGTATTTACCTATTTTGGATTACTATTTTTATCTTATCTTACTAATATTATAAATGCAAAAGTTTATATGAAAGGAAGTTTGTTACAGTATACTCAAACTGCTGAACGGATGTAGAACATAGAGTGGAGGAACACATAGGTTACGTACTTAATTTGTTTTTTTATTAATTCCACGCGCACGGATTCGTGATCATAAGCTAGTAAATATAAATAATTTGTTATGTTATATTTTTGAAGGCCTTTTCTTGAATATCTAGAATTCAGAGTAAATTTATTGTTAAAAAAACATACACTGACGATGGTTAATCCGTTCTATGTAGTCGATTTCTTCCGTAATTATTTGAACAAAGGAGAGCAGTCTCCGGTCTGTGGTAGAAGTATTTATTTAGAAAAGATCATTATCCTTCAACAGGTTGCAGGTGGGTATGTGATATCTATAATTGTTCTTTTAATGATTTGGGATCGAGCCGCTCGGATCGATCCCTAAATGCCTAGTCACGGTCATGCAATTTGTCTAAAGTCGTTTAATCATGATTAGTCACAATAGGGTCCGCTTCTATTAAATGGTTTAGATACTTCAAATAAAAACACCTCGTTACGTTGCTACGTAGCTGTTCTTGGAATTATTGCATACAAATTTAAATATTTTAATTACTTGAATAATAAAAATGTTTGTATTATGAAATTAGCATAATCTCTTGTATTCCAGATACCTATTGATTTTTGGATAACACTGAACTATACAATTCATGTTTCCATGACGGATAGAATCAAAATATATTTAAGTGGGTTTGTCGAAGGTGACGAAGAAGTATTATACTCTTTCCATAAACAATAGGCAACGCATCTATTTTTGCGGATCTCGATGGGCAGCGTGGCTTTGCTATTTCGGCCAATTCAAGTGGCCGTTTGCCAGTTTGCCACCATATCATAAAATAAGCTATAGTGCCAACCGATAGGGGTAATAATCTGAATTTAAAAAAAAAAGTAGTAAATTAGCAAAACAGTAACAAACTTTTTGTTCACAGTCATTCTCTTTTTAATTTGTCTTCCATGTTATGGAGATGTCGCTCTCTTGAAATCGTAATAAAAAGCATATTCGTTCAAAAATGTTCAAATATGTTTCTGTGGCGATGTGTTGTAAGTCGGTACCTGCCTAAAAGCGTGGCATGTCCCGAGATAAGACGGTCGGGCGCCGTCTGCCGCGGAGTGTTTAATCGGGTTAATTTATCGATAATTGACGGAAAACCTTTTTGTTTGTATTGCTGGAAAGTAACAGTAATTGTCACGCCTTGGAAGATTTACGTCCGCTTCTAAATTGAGACATTAACAATCGGATCTCGTGCCTAATGGTTCGGAATGAATTTATTTATTATACATCGGTCGACCGGCTCCTACGAAAAATTTGATTAGGCTCATTATAGTGTAAATGGATATTGAACTTGAACGTAAAACCTCCATGCTATGGCGACCGCATTAAAGATGATGTCACTAATAGTCTACTAATAATTATTACCTAACATTTATTAATATAACATTTAAGAAGCACTGTAATTATTTTGTAAAATAGATAGAAGGTTGAGATTTGTAAAAGTGGTTGGACTAGTGAAAGATTAGTAGTCATCTGTTAATAACCGAGGTTCTTATTACACAGGGAGCCACTCAGCAGCTATAAATGTGACTTAATGTACTATTTTTTTTTAATATTTTGATACAGTTCGATATCGAATTCTCGCGTCTAGTGTAAGGAACCAGTTAACGAGTGAGTGGCGTCACGTCGTCTAAATGAATTATTGTTGGCTTTATGAGGAACATAAAACGATGAGATCGGAGGCAATCAAGCGGCACCCGCGGCGTGGACCGAGTAAAAAGGTGTTCGCGCCGGCGGGGGGTCGCGCGCAGCAACCGTTGCGCTAAACGCCTACACTACGCACATGCTTCACTCCCCATTTCAATTAGCAATGAATAGCCAAAGTAGCAGACGCGGTGCTCTGCAATAAATTAACTTAGAAGCCACACCTTGTTTCATATATTCGTTTTCACTATGCGGTGATCGTTATAAGATCTTGTCATATACTAATTAAAGTTATTCACGTGAAATGACATCGTAAGACCGACTTCATTCCAAATTTAATGTCAAAACTTTATGATCCCGCAGCCATTTGAAAGGCGACAAGATCGTTCCGAAATCAAGAGCGTGACCCTTAAA